CTCAAGGGTTAAAACACTTGAATGAGACACTAAACTAACCGCCCCGAAGAGGAGGTTAGTTTAGTGTCTTACTAAAAATTTTAAAATGCAATCCCCGGGGGTTGGTCAAGTGATTTAACCCCCCATTCGGGTGGGATAGTTTAGTTTCTTACTCAAGGGTTAAAACACTTGACCAACACAACCAATCCCACCGAAGGGGGTAGGTCAAGTGTTTTAACCCCCATTCGGGAGGGTAGTTTAGTTTCTTCCTCAAGGGTTAAAACACTTGACCAACACAACCAATCCCACCGAAGGGGGTAGGTCAAGTGTTTTAACCCCCATTCGGGAGGGTAGTTTAGTTTCTTCCTCAAGGGTTAAAACACTTGACCAACACAACCAATCCCACCGAAGGGGGTAGGTCAAGTGTTTTAACCCCCATTCGGGAGGGTAGTTTAGTTTCTTCCTCAAGGGTTAAAACACTTGACCAACACAACCAATCCCACCGAAGGGGGTAGGTCAAGTGTTTTAACCCCCATTCGGGAGGGTAGTTTAGTTTCTTCCTCAAGGGTTAAAACACTTGACCAACACAACCAATCCCACCGAAGGGGGTAGGTCAAGTGTTTTAACCCCCATTCGGGAGGGTAGTTTAGTTTCTTCCTCAAGGGTTAAAACACTTGACCAACACAACCAATCCCACCGAAGGGGGTAGGTCAAGTGTTTTAACCCCCATTCGGGAGGGTAGTTTAGTTTCTTCCTCAAGGGTTAAAACACTTGACCAACACAACCAATCCCACCGAAGGGGGTAGGTCAAGTGTTTTAACCCCCATTCGGGAGGGTAGTTTAGTTTCTTCCTCAAGGGTTAAAACACTTGACCAACACAACCAATCCCACCGAAGGGGGTAGGTCAAGTGTTTTAACCCCCATTCGGGAGGGTAGTTTAGTTTCTTCCTCAAGGGTTAAAACACTTGACCAACACAACCAATCCCACCGAAGGGGGTAGGTCAAGTGTTTTAACCCCCATTCGGGAGGGTAGTTTAGTTTCTTCCTCAAGGGTTAAAACACTTGACCAACACAACCAATCCCACCGAAGGGGGTAGGTCAAGTGTTTTAACCCCCATTCGGGAGGGTAGTTTAGTTTCTTCCTCAAGGGTTAAAACACTTGACCAACACAACCAATCCCACCGAAGGGGGTAGGTCAAGTGTTTTAACCCCCATTCGGGAGGGTAGTTTAGTTTCTTCCTCAAGGGTTAAAACACTTGACCAACACAACCAATCCCACCGAAGGGGGTAGGTCAAGTGTTTTAACCCCCCATTCTGGAGGTTGGTTTAGTTTCTTACCCAACATTTTAAAATGCAACCAAACCCCCGAGGAGCTCCAAAAGGAGCGCTCTGCTCTAGTATTATAAT